GATTTAGGAATATTCCCAGAATATCTTCCAAATCAGCTTTTAACATAATGAAACACCCCGGCAACACAAAACTCCGGAAAATAGTCTTTTATTTTCATGCATCAAATGAAGCTGCAATCAGTTTGCTTGAGCGGCCCGATGCAGGCGTATTGGCAATGCCGTGATTTTCTGTTTGTCCCGCCAATGTCAGACGGGGTCATTACTTGTGCAATTACATTGATGCATTAGGCAGATGCTTTTATCTGAAATGTTTTACAGTGCATTCAAGGTACATTGTCCATGCATTCCCAGAGAATTGAACCCATGACCTTGGATTTGCTCACTACTCAATGATTGATGTTCAGAGTAGTTAATGTGCTGCTATATCATTTCTAAGGTGGTCTGAGTGGATACTAGGGTGTTTTGTGTTGTTTTATCATTGCTACAGTGTTATGTGTGGTTGATAGGGTGTTAATGTGTTGCTATATTGTTGCTAGGGTGTACTGGGTGGTTGTTAGGTCATTATATGCAGTTGTTAGGGTGTAAATGTGTTGTAGTGTTGCTCTTATGGTGGTCTTGGTGATAACTAGAGCATTAATGTCTTGCTGCATTGTTGTTAGAGTGTTTTGGGTGGTTGTTAGGTCACTTATTTGCAGTTGCTAGGGTGTAAATATGTTGCCATATTGTTGTTAGGTGTTCTGGACGGTTGCTAGGGTATTGCTATGGGGTTACCAGGGTGTTATGATGTTCCGGGGGGTTGCTAGGTTATTTATATGCACTTGCTAGGGTGTAAATGTGTTGAAATGTTGTTAGTTGTTTTGGGTGGTTGTTAGGTCATTTATATGCAGTTTCTAGGTTGTAAGCGTGTTCTGATATTGTTATTAGATCGTTGTCATTATTAACATATTGCTATATCATTGCTAGTATGTTTTGAGTGGTTGCTAGGGTGTTAACGTGTTGCTATATCGTTGTTAGGGTGTTCTGGTTGGTTGCTAGGGTGGTAATATGATGCTATGCCATTGTTAGGGTGTTATGGGTGGTTGCTAGGGTGTTAACGTGTTGCTATATCATTGTTCGGGTGTTCTAGGTGGTTGCTAGGGTGGTAATATGCTGCTATGCCAGTGTTAGGATGTTCTGGGTGGTTGCTAGGGTGTTAACATGTTGCTATATCGTTTTTAGGGTGTTCTGGGTGGTTGCTAGGGTGGTAACATGTTGCTATGCCATTGTTAGGGTGTTCTGGGTGGTTTTTAGGGTGGTAATATGTTGCTATGCCATTGTTAGGGTGTTCTTTATTGTTGCTATATCATTGTTAGGGTATTCTGGGTGGTTGCTAGGTTGTTAATGTGTTGCTATATCGATGTTAGGGTGTTCTGGGTAGTTGCTAGGTTGTTAATGTGTTGCTATATCGATGTTAGGGTATTCTGGGTGGTTGCTAGGTTGTTAATGTGTTGCTATATCGATGTTAGGGTTTTCTGGGTGGTTGCTAGGGTGGTAACATGTTGCTATATCGTTTTTAGGGTGTTCTGGGTGGTTGCTAGGGTGGTAACATGTTGCTATGCCATTGTTAGGGTGTTCTGGGTGGTTTTTAGGGTGGTAATATGTTGCTATGCCATTGTTAGGGTGTTCTTTATTGTTGCTATATCATTGTTAGGGTATTCTGGGTGGTTGCTAGGTTGTTAATGTGTTGCTATATCGATGTTAGGGTGTTCTGGGTAGTTGCTAGGTTGTTAATGTGTTGCTATATCGATGTTAGGGTTTTCTGGGTGGTTGCTAGGGTGGTAACATGTTGCTATATAATTGCTAAGGTATTCTGAGTGGTTGTTAGGGTTTTCTGGGTGGTTGCTAGGACATTGATATGGGGTTGCTAGGGTTTTCATGTGTTGCAGTGTTGTAAGGGTGTTCTGGGTGGTTGCTAGGGTGTTAACATGTTGCTATATCGTTTTTAGGGTGTTCTGGGTGGTTGCTAGGGTGGTAACATGTTGCTATGCCATTGTTAGGGTGTTCTGGGTGGTTTTTAGGGTGGTAATATGTTGCTATGCCATTGTTAGGGTGTTCTTTATTGTTGCTAGGGTGTTAACTTGTTGCTATATCATTGTTAGGGTATTCTGGGTGGTTGCTAGGTTGTTAATGTGTTGCTATATCGATGTTAGGGTTTTCTGGGTGGTTGCTAGGGTGGTAACATGTTGCTATATAATTGCTAAGGTATTCTGAGTGGTTGTTAGTACATCACTATGTCATTACTAGTGTGACTGTCATGACGTTGCCAAGCAGGTTTCCCAAACACTACTCATCAATCATTGTTTCAGGGAAACAGGCAGTCCCGTCCCAAATTGACACCACTGGTTGAGCCAAAGCGACATGCAGAGGGCAAAAACACGTTTGGAAAGTGCGAGCAGAAGCACTGTAAGGTGCTTTATGGTCTTATTATTCGTTTTCTTTTCATAAGCAACAGCTAATGCTGGAGCGTTGAGGGGTTTTGTATGCCGGCGCACACAGAGACTGTGATTATGGCTGTACGGCTCCATCTCGATAAGTCGACGTGAGGCTGACAAACTCTTGACTGTGACAAGAGAATCTAACTGTGTCATTACAGTGGGGAGTCGACTTAATCACACGAACTGATGGATTCTGGGAATGCTGGGCTCTTGTAGCTCACAGACATTTTAATATCGATCCGTGCAATAGAATGTAATCCTTCAGTACTCTCATATTCATCTCTGGGGGGATGCAAGGAATTAAACGTTAAAAGTGTTTATCAGTTTTTGTGAGGTGCTTTGGGACGCTCTCTACAGCAGACACGCAACTCAACCAATAACTCTACAGAGGAGAGAAATAAAGTGCGCTCTGCACTATAAAAGCTATTTTCTTTTTAAACAACTTTTTAAAACCTTGAAGGACAAAGGAGCACTTCACGTTGCACCAAGATTAATCTATACTATCATAATAAAGACATTTATCTGTGGTTGCTAGGGTGTTAACCTGGTGCTATGTCATTGCTAGGGTGTTCTGGGTGGTTGAAAGGGTGTTAATGTGTTGCATTATTGTTGTTAGGGTGTTCTGGGTGGTTGCTAGGGCATTGATGGGGGTTGCTAGGGTGGTAACATGCTGCTATTTCATTGCTTGGGTGTTCTAGGTGGTTTCTATGGTGTTGATGTGATACTATATCGTTCTTAGGCTGTTCTGGGTGGTTGCTAGGGCATTAATAGTGGGTTGTTAGGGTGATTACATGTTGCTATCATTGCTAGGGTGTTCTGTATGGTTGTTTGGTATTGATAGGGGTTGTTAGAGTGGTAACATGTTGCTGTATTGTTTCTAGGGTGTTCTTGGTGGTTGCTAGGGTGTTAACCAGGTGCTATGTCATTGCTAAGGTGTCCTGGGTGGTTGCTAGGGTGTTAACATATGCAAATATTGTTGTTAGGGTGTTCTGGGTGCTTGCTAGGGCATTGATATGGTGTTGCTGGGGTGATAACATTATATATCATTGTTAGGGTGTTCAGGGTGGTTGCTAGAGTGTTAACGTGTTGCAATATTGTTGTTAGGGTGTTCTGCGGGGTTGCTAGGGTGGTAACATGTTGCTATATCATTGCTAAGTTGTTCTGGGTGGTTTCTAGGGTTGTTAGGTTGTTATTGTTGTTAGGTGTTCGGGGTGGTTGCTAGGGCATTAATGGGAGTTGCTAGGGTGTTAACATCTTGCTATTTCATTGCTAGAGTGTTCTGGGGGGGGGTTACTAGGACATTAACGTGTTGCTATATCATTGCTAAGGTGTTCTGAATGATTGCTAGGTCGTTACCGTGTTGCATTATTGTTGTTAGGGTCTTCTGTGTGGTTGCTAGGATGATAACATGTTGCTATATCATGGCTAGGGTGTTGGAGGTGGTTGCTATGATGTTAACGTGTTGATATTTCATTGCCAGAAAAGCTATTTTCTTTTTAAAAGACTGTTGAAAACCTTGAAGGACACACTTCGTGTTGCACCAAGATGAATCCAGACTATCATCATAATAAAGACATTTATCTGTGCGCACAAAGGCCCCGGTGGCAAACGCCTCCTGAGTTTTATCGTACTGTTTTTTTTAATATATCGCTCCTTTAGAAAGTAAAACTGAGAGCCGCTGTGCTTGTATGAACCTAATTGGCTGGTTTATTGTATTAGCTCGACTAATTACTAACAGGAAGTCAAAACACTCTGCTGGTTATTTACATCCTGTTTCATAGCATATAGCATAATCTCCCTATATATATATATATATAATATATATATATTGTAATAAATATATATAAATTATATAAATATATAATTTTGCGTGCGTTTAATATACATAATATATGTGTATTTTCTTATGTATTTTTTATAATATAATATAAACATACACACAGACATTATATTAAATATTTATAATATTTGTATAATTTTCAGAATATATAATATAATGTTTATGTATATACACACATTATACACAGACATTATATTATATATTTTAAAAATGACATACTATATATGTCTATATTGTATTATTATATATATTACATAATTGTGTATATATACATAAAGTATAAAATATGAATAATTGAATTAAAAGTCATTCATAAATTATTTCAGTTTATCTGTGCATGTCATCAGTCAAATGATGCATTTTTGCACTGATCTAATTAGTTAAAGCTGTTTTGCTCTGTGATTGGTTTGTTTGTCTCGACTCTCTGTCCTGTGATTGGCCGAGTCTCTGTGCTGTGATAATTATCGGTGTGTATCTAATACATCAGCTAGATTAATATAATTAGAAGCCTAAAATAGCACAAATATGAAACAGACCAGGCCTTTACTGCAGCATGTTGGCTGAAGTGCTTCATCTCTATGGTATTTGCAATGAGAAAAAGCCAGATTCACTGCGATCCGGTCATCATGGTTTCTTTCTCATGCTGTCAATGTGAATGGAGTCGTGAAACGTCTCAGACGTTAAGCAGCAGCTGTATGAGAAGTGAAAGTGAGGGTGTTGATGTGATGGGAGTCTGTGTCTCTCACCTGTACAGGAGTAATCGTCGATGCGGATGAATCCGGTGTGGCAGATGCACATGAAGGAGCCGGCGGTGTTCACACACTGTGTGTTCTCACGGCAGTAGTGCCTCCCCTCCACACACTCATCGATATCTGCGCAGAAAACATGGCATCAGCTCAGACTCACACGCCGGGAGACTTTACATGCTGCGGATGGATAACGCTGAGGGTTTGAAGACGTGAGTCAAAGTCTGTAACCACGGGGTGGATCAAATATTTACAGTGTATTCAATACAGGGTTATTATAGTTCACTCAAACTAAAACCTTAAGAAAGCATTTTTGTTACTTGAAATAAAATAAATGTTACCTGAGATCAAATAAAATATAAAAAAGCAATACTTATAATATTTATAAAAATTATAAATATTTATAAAATATATTAAAAATTATAATATAATATAGAAAAATGTAAACATTTTATTTCAGCTAGTTGCTCGATGTAATAAAATAACTAAAACTTAATATATTCATAAAACTTAATAACAAACAAAAAAAATTGACAAAAACACATCAAAATTACTAAAACTTAAAATTAAAGTGAAAGCACAAAATATAAAAAAATAAAATCTAATTCAAAATATTAACAGAAACTATAATGATGCTAAAATAATACTGATTCAATATTTGTCAAGGCAAGGCAAGTTTATTTCTATAGTACAGTTTATATATGCAATGATGATCATAAAAGATGCATAAGAAATAAAAATAACAAAAATTAATAAATAAAATTTGATGAATAATAAATATTTTTAAAACAAATAAGATTACACTCAAAACTATAATTGCTTTTTACTTTGAAACTTTTTACTAAGAAGTTGCTAGTGAATTTCACAAAAAAATATAAATAAACGGCAAGTAACATATTGAATTAAACATGAAATTTGAAGGTATTAAGACTGAAATTGTATTTTCTTGTAAAATAATGTACTCCAATTTGTTTTATTTACAACTTCAAAAAAAAAAAGTTTTTCAAGTTCACACAGTGAATATCTAATTTAATCATTTTAATTAAATTTTTTATATATTAGCATCTCTGAATTTAAAATGCTAAAAGAGTTGAGATATTCGAATCATTTCCATGAATCAGTTCATTTGAATCGATTCAATGAATCCGTTCGGTTTGATTCTTCTTTTGCAGTAAACATTTTGAATCAATTCGGCAACATTGACTGCTTAGATGATTTATTGATGAAATGAAATGATTTATTGTTTCTCTCACTGAAAACAAATCAATCCTTTATGTTATTTTCATTTCTTAATTAAGTAAACAAATACATAAAAATAAATATTGATACAGCATTAGTTCCGTTCTTTAAATGCAGAGTAAAATGTGCACAAGTCAAGGAGTTTAGACTGTTTGGTATTAGATTCAAGTGTCCGTGTGATGAATTCAGTGACTTTTTAAAAGATGATATCCGTGACATTTCCGGGGAACAGTTTGGTGTGAAGCGAGGGCAGAGCGATCGGCCTGCTCATGTGTCATGGCTCCTTGAATTTATCGCAGTGAGATCAAATAAAAGTTATTAAATCAAATCTCATAGACTTACAGATCTAATAAAAAGCCTTATGAATTTTCGCCAGCGCCGAACTGCTGCATCTCTGATAAATTCAGAGTGGCTTTATGGCTCAGGACTTCAAATGAAACTTTAACCCAATTTGTTTGGAACTGGCGTCCTTCAGCATAACCTCCGCCACTTCTCTTCTGTAATTCTCTTAGTTCGCGCTTCTTCTGCGGCTTATTCTTGAGGAATAACCAGGAATTATGGTCCTACGGTAATGAAAGAACTGGCATCCGTTGCCTACACAACACACACGCTTTCAGCCTGAGAGAATCAAACGACCTTGATGAACAAACCTCTCGTTAGCCGCTCTGATACCACGGTACGAACACTCAGAATACTTTTTCTGAGGCTTGACATCAGTACCTGCGTGCAACCTCAGCAAAGACGAGCATTCAGACTCCTTAAGTGCCTTAACGATAGCAGTAAATCAATAAAAACCTATTAAAATGTATTGGAAACAAATAAGAAAAAAATACATAAATGAAATTATACAGTACATGAATATTTATATTTGCCATAACATTGTGAGTATCGCACACCAGCAATTTTCGATTATGAAAACGCATTTTTTTTTTAATATATTAGCATCACTGAGTTTGAAAATCAGTTTGTGTCACTGCGTGTTAATACTGTATTATATATATATATATATATAGATATAAACACATTAATTTACATTATATTATTTAACTTTTAAAATATATAATATCTATACCTATATATATATACGTGTGTGTGTGTGTTTATTTATTTATACAACAGTTCTTTCTAGTCCTTGAATCCGAGAGCCTTTTCCAGCGGTGCAATATTCTAGTGATAACAGCACTCCAACCATTTCACCATTTTAAGTTTTAAGAGTTTTTAGGCGATAATGTACTTGTTTAGACTTCAGATATGCAGTTTGTTAATAAAGATAACGTCTACTTGAAAATGCGTCTCGATGTTTTGGGAGATGTGAGCTCCAGGGCGTCAGCGGGCGTTCAGCGCTCATGAAACCGCCGAGAGCAGCCTCACCTCGGACAGATCTGCTGGAATTTGCCGCTGGCTCTGATGTCTCCATAGTGGTTAAACATGAGATATAATTCATTTTTGGTCAATCTAACAGGCAGTCTTTGGTCTCATTAATCTATTATTTGTTCCAGAGCAAATAGTTTTGGCTGAGGGCAAAATCTCATCACGTTATATTTTATATAACTTTAATGCTGTATATCAGAGCGCTGCCTTTGTACTTTTGACTGAATTGCCCAGCAACTTTTATGATGGCTGTTGTTGTTGTTTATTAAATTTTGTTAGTAAATAAATAATATTTGTATGTAAATAGTAGTAGTATTTAATAATAGTATTTAGTGATGGGAAACGGTGTGTGTGTTTGTGATGGTGATTTTAGTGACATTATTCCTCCATTAGATGGCGACAATAGACAGTTTTTCTGAGTGAGTTTGCAGTAAAGACTTTTATATTGAAAGAGACTGAAACAGGGTTGTAAACAAGGAAGTTCTTTTCACTTTCAACTAGTTAACAAATACAGTGAGCAGCGCTGTCATCAGAAATCACCCTTAACAGATGAAAGATAGTACGACAAAGATATCGCTTTCCTCAGCGGACATTCAAACTCATGTTTTATTGTGAATATGAGATTGAGCTGAAGAATGAATGCTGGATCAGATGCAGGTGATCACACTCGCTCAGTCCATCTCTCTCTCATCATACTCTACATATTATACAGTGAGCTTTTAATACAGTGATACAATAAGCTTTCAATGAAGCAACTCA